GCTTAGATCAGAGAGCAGATTAACTTTGATGTCTGTCTGTACCCTGTGCGAGACACCATTGGCGGTCTGCTCCCTGCAAGTATTCAATCTTCACATCCAAAGGAAGAAGAAGAAGGTGCCAAGCAGGAGGCCAAACCAATTTTTTTTTTCAGTGATTGAGATGAAAATACACACCCTAGGGTTCCTAACATATTTGACTTGCATCTTGCCTTGAGCGCCCCTTCTCTTTGAGGGAACTCCTTCCCCCACACCCAAACTTCCTCTGGCTTTCTGAAATACTAGCACAGCCAGGGAGCCCCAAGTCCCTCATCTCTGCCATGTGTTGGATGTAATTGTGTTGATTTCTGTGTGTTTAAGGGCTCCTGGTAGCATGAACTGAAACCAATCCTGCCTAACTGAAGTTCAAATAGAGCTCCCGGGGCGCACATGGGGTGACCTGCAGGCCATCACGGACGCTTGGGAATCAGTTTCCACCAGGAAGGTGCCAGGATTCAAGGCAAGTGGGATATATGTAATAATCTCTGAACATGGGCAGTGGGAGGAATCTGCTGCAATCATGCTGTCTGTGTGTGATTCATGCTGATCTTCATGGTTCTTATTTCTAGAACAAAGAAAACTGGATTAGGCTAGACCATAACCACACCCATGTGACACAGCTCATTGACTCTGCCAGTCAATTTAGACTGCAGGTTAAGAGCTGGACTCTGGAACTGGACAGTATGGGTTTGACTCTTTGGTTTGCAGCTTACTGGCCATGTGACTTATGGTAAGTCATCGTTGGGATGCCCACCATTCCTTTCTGAGTGTGGAGACAGCTATTCACAGGTGTGGTGAGTGGCAAATGCTAGTGACCTCATAGGGCAAGTGTTTCTAAGTACTGATATTAGTGCTGGATTGCTTAGGCGTGCACAGAGGCCCTACACGTAGTCTGAGTTAGTTAACTTTCTGTTGCTCTGACACATTGCTTGAGACAAACAACTTGGCTCCTAGCTTCAGAGGTTTCAGTCCATGGTTATGTGGCCAGGTGGCCTTGGGTTTCAGTCCACGGTGGGCACTTGTGGCAGGGGAAACTGCTTCCCTCACGGTGACCAGGAAACTGAGAAAAAGAAAGTTGCAATGTGCCCTTCATGGGCACATCACCAGAGAACTATTTCCTCCAACTAGGTCCTGGCCCCAAACACTATCAGCTAAGGGCCAAGCCTTTAACACAGGAGCTTCTTGGGCACATCTAAGAGCTGGAATGGTGGTGCATGCTTGTAATCCCAGCAACCTGGGAAGCTGAGGCAGGAGGACTGCAAGTTCAAGTCTAGCCTGGGCAATTTAGTGACTTAATGAGACTTTTTCTCAAAATAATTTTTTTCTGGGCCACAGAGATAGCTCAGTGGTCTAAGCACCTGCATAGGAAGCACAAAGTTCTTGGTTTGATCCCTGGTACCACATGCTGTGCTGACCTTGTCCTGGGCATGCCGAGCTGGCCACCAAGACCAGGCATGGTGGCGCATGTTTATAATTCCAGTGCTGGTGAGGCTGAAACAGGAGAATCGTGACAAGTTTGAGCTGCATAGTGAGATCCTATATCAAATACGTAAAATAATAATAATAATTTTTTTTTCTGTAGTAGAGAATAAACCCAGGACCTTTACACTGAGCTACATCTCTAGGCCTTTAAAAAATGGTTAAATTTTAAGATAGCATCTCAGTAAGTTACTAAGTTGCCCTGGCTGAACTTGAATTTGCAATCCTTCTGCCACAGACTTCTCCTACAGCACTACTGTTGTACTCAGGAACCACACACCCAGCTAAAAGGAAAGACAAAGCTCTGAGGATGTTGCTTGGTACAATGGCTCTGGGTTCAATCCTCAGTTCTGAAGAAAAATAAAATTCAAACGAAAGCACAGCCCATCCAGGAATGGCAAGAGGAGAGATCATCTTCAAAGGACATCAGAAGCTGTCACGAGGGGCTAGAGGCAGATACTGCATCTCATCCCTCCAGCAGACTGCAGACACTAGCGGGATGGTAGATTCTCCCATTTCCTTCACTGCTGCATCCGCCAGCACGAGATGCGTTTGGCAGCCTGGGCCTGGCTCAGTGAACCATAGCTAAGTTCTAGAATGTTGAAAGACTCCTCTTTGTGCTCCTGATCGGCAGCCACAATGCCTTGCGTGGAGAAGGCACACAGGAGTCTGCGCTGATTGAATGGATAGGATGGGGGTGGGGAACAGGCCAGGGCGGTTTCCTCAGAAATGGGTGCACCCTGGGATCAAAGAGATAACTGTGTTTGGTGGGACTCAGCAGAAGGCAGGTGATAAGTCACTATTTTCTGGTGTGATAAGACTAATAATCTAGACAAATGGCACAGATGGGCTAATCATTTCTGTTGGACAGCTAATGCCTTTAGATCAGCATGAAGGCGACAGAGAAACCATGAGTCCCTTTCAAATTAGCTTGCAGAGGGGAAGCTTCACGGGCCACATGGGCTCCAGGCATGCCTTGCCCTTCACCTGGGCGTCTCACTCTCCTGGCATCTTCCGAAATGGCTTGCAGAGGCCCACAGCTGGGCCTTGACTCTGTCCTGCCAACCTCACTGATGGAGCCCAGGAATCCTGAGAGTCAACTCCTCCACCAAGGTATGCCCCCCCACAAAGCTCAGCTCTCTGGCTTTTCAGTGACCATGTCTAGAAAAGTCACCCTTGCTTTGCAGCTTGTGCGGCGTGAAGCAAGGAGAATCATACATGGGTGTTCCATCTGGAACTCTATGTCTGGAGTCCCTGCCAAGCCTCAAGCACTCATAGGTGGGGCTGCTCTGACTGGATCGTGGGAATGTGATAACCCTTGGGTGATTAGGCCTTGGATGAGCTTCCTTCCTGTCAGGCCATGAGCAACTGGCTCTCCTCTGCCATGGAACTAGCCGACTATGGCCTTAAACCTCCTCAAACTGTGAGCCAACACAAACCTTTCCTCCTCTAATTTGTGGGTGTCCGGTATTGTGTCTCAGCAGTGAGAAAGTAACTAAGATTCTTCCAGTTGTAAAAGTGAGAACCTAATACACACTGGCTTCAGTGAGAGGGCAACTTTATCGGCTCATACTAAGTAGTGCAGGTATAGACCTTCCTTCAGGTATAGCAGGCTCCAAAGCAGTATTAACCTGTCTGTCTCTGTCTCTCCTACTGTCCTGACCTTATTTTTGGTCCCAATGTGGTTCCTCTCCCACACCTCCAGCATCTTATTTCCAACTGTACCTTTCCAGCAGAGCTGAGCTCCACTCTGGGCAGCTCAACCTGTATCATACGACCAAGAAGATGCAATCACGTCAGCCTAAGCCTTGTGCTAACCTATCCTTGTGCAAGGGAGCTGGGTTGGGCTTATGTATGTGCTGAACTTTCAGAGCTGGAAAGAAGCAGGATAAGGGCAGGGAGCCCCAGTTTACCTCAGGAAAGAGTATATCCCAGCTTACCAAGATGGGGAGAGTTACAGTTCCATAAAAAGTTTTAAAAAGCAAAGAGGAGGAGTGGATGCTAGGCTGCTAAAATGACAAATGCACACTGTCCTTGGGGACTTTTTATCATGTGATAAAAGCATGTATCACAAGTTCCCTCTGCTGAGGTGTCTTCTCTCCTTATCCATCTATGCTTGCAGGTGCCTGAGGAGCAGCTAGCCCACGGCACAGTCATCTGTCTTCATTCTTTGTACCTCTGCAGCCCACAGGACCATATCACTCATCGGCAACAGGCTGTGGGGGTCATCAGTTATCTCTTCATATACGTGTTCCACGGCAGGATCCTGGGCAGCAGGGTTCACGTCTTATTCATTTTCTGTCCACTGTAGGGGCATGGCAGATAGTCCATAAATCTGCTGACAGATCGAACAACTGATTTATATGCTTCTAGAGCAACGGAGGTACACAGTTATCTTGAATCAACCATAAAACTACAAAAAAAGAAAAAAAAAAGAAAGGAAAACCATGCTCACACCACTTAGGAAAGACTGTACATCCTTTCTGAAGTAAATAATGCTGCTAGGGTCAAGATAAGTACCCTCAATGCTCCCCAGCCCCAGTTTTTGAATTATTTCTATTTCTAAGAGTTGGAGGTGTCTGGTATTGTGTCTCAAGGAATCTTGATCCCAGCTGCCGAATGCCCTGGGCAGGTCAGATTCAGGCATAGGCCACCTGTGAGGAGGAAAGGTGCAGAGGGTGCCAGGTGGCAATCAGATGTCTGTCCGCAGTGGCCCCCACCCAGGCAGTAAGCCAGAGCTCTGGGGTCCCATCAGTGGGGTTTGCCCCGGGTTGTCTGACCTTCCCTGATTCCTGTCCACTTTCTGTCCTTATTGGCATCCCTGACATCTTAACACAGGGCACAAGGCAAGAGGAAGCGGTAGAAAAATGGGAGTCTGTGTCCAAAATCTTCCGTGGCCCGGGTTTCAGAAACACCATTCAGGCCATTCTGGACCAGGAGATTTGCCCCTTTGGCTCTCACTCCCACAGACTGCCCTCAGAAAGGGCCAGTGTCTTATCCGAAGCCACGCAGCCACGCCATGGTCCCCTGAGCTGTAATTTGGGTCCACTGATCAGAGGATTGAAGGACAGCCACAGAGCACCGAGGGCTGGGAAAGTCGCTAAATACCAAATTAACTGGAAGGACAAGAAAGTTTGGCTGGTAAAAGGGCTAGAGATGGCAACTGGGGCAATGGGGAGAGGAACTAGGCCCAGGGCAGGTAAGGGAGCAAAAAAGAACCTGCGGGAACCGAGTGGAACGAAAGCAGCCCCCATCACCCTGACCCGGAGCTACCTCCTTCCAAGACTCGCTTGGCCAGGAAGGGAGGGGTCGGTGGTGAGCGGGGCAGAAGCCACGCCCATCACGTCTAGCCCCACCCAAGGCGACCACGCCCATTTCCCCACCCGCCACTAGTTTGCTCCAACCCGAAGCCCCGCCTCCTGCCCCACCTCCGCCTCTAGCCCCGCCCCCAAGTCCCGGAAGCAAAAGCTGCAGCTCCTGCACTTCCGAGCGAGGTCACGGCCGGGCTGGCTGGAGCGAAGTCTCCGCGCTTGCGGCGCCCTTCGTGGGTCAGGCCAGCTCTCACCCACGCCCAGCACCATGTCCCGGAACCTGCGCACCGCGCTTCTTTTCGGCGGTTTCTTCTCCTTGGTCGGCGCCGCCTTCTACCCCATCTACTTCCGGCCCCTAATGAGGCTGGAGGAATACCGTGAGTGACCTCTAACCCTGCGCGGTGGCCTGACCCCAGGAACTGCTGGCTGCAGCCCCCGCCCCGTCAGTTTCAGTGGTGCGGTGCAAAAAGGGCCAGGGCGTAGAGCCAGGTCCGAATTCCGCCGTGTCCAGCCTTGTGATGTCGAAGCGGTGGCTCACGCGCTCTGGCCCTTAGGATCCCATGGGTAAATGCCACTGTCTGCACTGTAATAAAACTGGCGCCCCTTGCGAGTCTCAGAGGTGGCCATGTATGTGAAAGCGGACTGCACGCAATGAGTGGACACAGTACCAGCGCACACTCAGTTCAAACGAGTTCTTATGCACCAGTTTAGGCATAACTTCAATCAGTTAATTTGCACAACCTCCCCTTTAAGTAGATATTACAACCCATTTTAGATGGAGAACTGAGGTTCTGAGATCAGATGACTTTGCCCAAGGTCACACAGTAAGTGGCAAGGCAAATATTCCGACATAGTAGTGATCTAGGAGCAGGCAGACGAAGCCCTGATCATCGTGAGCTGAAGGGTGTTTTTATTGCGCTTCATTTCCACTCTCAAAGATGTGTTTGAGTGGAAATACTTCAAACTGAAACTGTTAAGCTAGGTTTTTCAGTTTTTCCTCAAATCGTTTATCAGATTCTGCTGGGTTCTTTCATTTGGAGCCGGTTGCTCACATGACAATGGTGAATGCCCTGGGAGTAATTTTCCTCCTTAATCATTCAAGTCCTATCATTCTAAAAGCCAAACTCTCCTTCCTTGAGACCTATACTTCAGCAAGGATTAGCACTTTGATACATCTGAAGCCATCTGTCAGAGAGAAAATATTAGGCATTAGAGGCTCATTTTGTTCTCCAAGAAACCTGAATCATCTTGAAGATGGAAGAGGGCCAACCCTGTCCCTGGAGGGTATCAGCAGAGGCAGGAAGCTTCATGATTTGAAGGCAGGAGCTCCATGTAAATGCCCTGCCCATTGCAAAGCCTGCCTTTGGCTTCTGGAGCTGGAGTTTCTGAATACACACTTAGATTTCCTTGTAGTTTCTTTTCATCAGCCTAGGTGGGCATGGCCTCTGTCCAGCCCTCCTTCCAGCCTGTGTGCACTTCCATGCCATGCATGAGGGCAAAGGTGTGGCGGTGTGAAGCCCTGTGAGGTGCTTCGTCCTGCTCTTTTTATGATCTGTTGCCATATGGTTATGTTCACCTCTGGGGTTGAACTGGGAACAAAGGGTCTGCTTTGGGCCTGTTAGTGATGTGTCAGTTATGAAGCTCTTGCTGTGGTTCTCAGCTGGAAATGGTTTTGTCCCCAGAGGACATTTGGCAATGTGGAGACATTTTTGCTTGTCAAAGGTAGGGGAAAGAAAAGGAGGCAACTGCGCCGTTGCTGTCCTCTCGATAGAGGACCCCCATGCCAAAGCATTACCTAGCTCCATTGGTCGGCTGAGAGCCCCACTCTGGTCAGATGACTGGCGCTGGGTCTGTGAGTAGTCTCAAAGGGGCACTCCGAGTCTTTGGTTGGTTGAGCTGCTGTAGACAGGTAAGTCAGGCCCTTCGGGTGAAGGTTTGGTGGAACCGGGGCTTGAACTCAGGCCCTTGCGCTTGCCAGGCAAGCGCTTATTCCACAGAGCCACCTCCCTGGCCCCATGTTTCACGAGTTTAGCCACAATAGCTGCATTTGAAACTGAAAGGCAGTGTATGCCTGCTCCCTTTCCCAGTTCTGTTTTGATTGATTTGGCCAGCATATATCTGAGAGTTAGAACTGATTCTTTAGATAGACAGGTAAATAAACAGGCTAATCTTTACTGAAAGTTGTATCTGGCACTCTTTTAATTACTTTTAAGTACTACATTAAGCCAATTATTATCAGTAATCGGTCTGCAGCTTCAGCATGATTGTTCCCATTTCCTGTGTGGGCAAACTGCGGTTCCGTAACTTGAGAACAGTCCCCACAATTGATGACCTGGGCTCTGAGCTAGCCTCTAATCTCTAAAGACCATACACTCTGCTGCCCAGCCTAAGAAAAGGAAATGGGGCACATGAGGTCTTCTCAGTATCTTGGTAGATGGATGACTTTCAGGTGAGTTACTTCTCAGAGCCCAACCTCATCATCATTGGACTTCTCTCTTAAGGTTTGAGATAAATTAAAGGATGCGGTGGTTGTGGAAGGTCCCACTGTAGTCTTCTTGGAGGCATTCTTTAAAAACATTTAACAGACGAGCCATAAGGGCAGGGATGGTGAGGAGAGTTTTGAGCACAGCACTGGTTTAGGGCTGGCAGGCCTGGCGCTTAGGTGGGGTCCGCGTGCAGGTCCAGGGATCCCGCTCTGGAAAGAGCTTCAGTTCATTTCAGCTAGCGCTTGTTTAGCTGACTTTTGAACATCTGTTTAGAATCTGGAGTTTAGCAGTCACTCTGAACCTGTTAGGTACAGGGTGTGCCTGGCCAGGCAAGGTGGTCAGAGGTGTCTCCACCACAGTCCAGTCCTACCCGAGTGCACTGCCCATGTTCTTTAGTTCTGTCTGTGTTTAGCATCCCCAGATGGGTTGGAATCTCCACCGTTCATATGCAGTCTCTGTTACTTATCTTTCCCACACTGCCCTCCCTGCCTGACTGTCCCTCCCTAACTGTCCCTTCCTCCTCCCTCCTTTGCAATACTGGGGATTGAGCCCATGGACCTTGTATCCCTGGCTCTTTATATTTTTTTATATTGAGACAGAATCTTGGCAGGTTGCCTGAGCTGGGTTCAAACTTGAGATCCTCTTGCCTCAGTCTCCCAGAGTTCTGGGATTACAGCTGTGCATCACCACACACAGCTTTTACACACACTCATATCCATGTTTCTTGCCTCTTACCTCTTTCTTTTTTTTTTTTTTTGCCTTTTTGAAACAGGGTCCCACTATGCATTTCAGGCTGGCCTTGTGCTCACTTTGTAGCCCAGGCTGGCTCAAAATCTTGATGATCCTCTTGCTTCAGCCTCCTGAGTGCTGGGATTACAGGCATGCGCCACCGTGCCCGGCCTCTCACCCCTAATTTCAGTTTTCTTTCTTAAATACATCTGTTAATATTTCTTTGGTGAGAATTTTTAACTGGGAGACTCTGTTTTGATTTGTTAGGAAATGTACTCCCCTGTCCCCTCTGTGGCTGTGCCGTTGACAAGCCTGTTGTCCCTCCATGTATTCTTCTGGTTTGATCATCTTGCTTGCATTACTGACATACTCCAGCAAGTCACTGCTCTTCTCGAGCGAGGTGCAGCCAGTGGAGAATTGCTGAGGAGTGCTCACAGGGAGGGCAGGGTGGTGGCCTTGCTGGGAGAGAGGGTGTGTTGGAAGTGTCTCGTCCCCAGGCCTGCCAGGATTGGGGCAGCTCTGTTTCCTTGGATCTCATGGAAGAGAGAACGGGCCTGAACTAGAGTAGTGCTCATGGGCCTGGGCAGGAGAGACTGCATTTGGAGGCTAGGTGAACTCTGCAGGGATCTGAGGCTGATGAGCCCAAGTGGCAAGGAAGGGCGAGGAGGGAAGGGCACCCAGCTTCCTGGCTCCCGCAACTGGGGAGGTGGGTGCTCCTCACTATTGGGAAACATAGGAGGTGTGGATTTGCGGTGAGATGACGAATCAGTTCCCATCTGGACAGCTGGAGGTTTGGGTGGGGGCTTCCTGGAGGCAGTAGGGTGAGCAGGCTGGAGCTGCGATGCACACAATCAGTGCAGTAGGTCTAGGCGCCCAGGCAGTTCCTGGAGCTGGGAAGGGACAGGAGGGCACACGCAGGCGCACTGTAGACAGGGCCAGAACTCCAGTGGGAAGGTCTGACTGTGGAACTGAGGAGGCCTGGTCCTGAGCCCAGGGGACAGCATGTCATGAAAGGGCTGCTTTTGCCCTTCAGCCGCTCATCCTGAGTGTCTCAAGGATGGTAAGGATGGTAAGCAAGAAGTAGCCACTGGTGGGCCGGGGAGATGGCTCAGTGGAATAAGCGCTTCCCTGGCAAGCACAAGGGCCTGAGTTCAATCCCTGGTTCCACCAATAAATAAATAAATAAATAAATAAATAAATAAATAAATTTTTAAAAAAAGAAGTAGCCACTGGAGCAAGCAGAAGGAAGGTACAAAGTGCCAGTTATTTTGTTAACACTTTCCATGGTTTGGAAGTGGGCAAAAGTGAGCTATAGCAGATTGAAGAGTAAATGGACAGCCTGTTCACCTGACAGTTTAAAGACGTCAGAGCTGCTGGAGGAGAAGAGCAAGGCAGTATTTGCAGCGCTCCAGGGGCCTAGGGAGAATGCGTGCTTGCTTTCAGCATAGCTGCAAGAGCCAGGAGAGTTCAGAGGACAGGCTGGAGGGGAGGTGGCAGGGCCTCTGGCACAGGGCGAGGAGGACTTTCTGTCCAGGACAGGGCCCTTCTCCTGCCTCAGGGTGGACTCACCTGAGGGCAGGTTTGCAGTGGGCAGGTTGTGGTGTGTGAGGTGCTGGCACACAGCAAGTGAGAAGCGCTCAGATCAGACCCGTGCCACACTGTCTCCCGCCTGGCTGGCCCCTGCGTCTGCTCTCCTGCTTCGCTCTCTTGCTTTTGCCCTAAGCTCCTCTTCCTGAGTGTCTCTTGTTGCTCTCTGCTCTGACTGTCCTCTAGTCCTTGAACTTTGAGCCTCCTTTTCTAGAAAGGGCAGGGCAGAAAGGCCAGTGCGCGAGAAGTGGAGGCTTTGGAGCCAGATGCTGGCAAGGAAGGAGGCAGGCCAGGTTGGGCACCTTTGGGGTCCTTCAGTTGTGTGCCTGCATAGGGCGAGTTTGGGACAGGTAGGTCCCAGGTTTTCTGCTGGAGTTAAGCCTCTGGGCAACAGAAAAAGAAGAGGCTGTTTGGGTAAAGCAGAGGTAAGGAGGTCTTTCGTGATTGCTGAGCAGTGGGCTGCCTTATTGGACCTCATTTGGACCATCTGTGTAATCTGCAGCTCTTTGAGCGACTCAGCAGGGCTTTCCAAGTGTCACCTGGAGTGCAAGGCCGGGCCATATGTGATGCCGCGAGACTGCAGTGAGAGCCAGGGCCATGGGCCTTGGGTACAGGCTCGCAGGGCTTCTGGAGGGAGCCTCGGGCGCTGCTTTTCATCGTTGTCCTACCGCACAGCGTGGCTTGTCTGAAGGGGGCACTGCTAGGAAGAGTATAGACAGCTCTAACTGGGAGCCTGATTTGTGTGTGAGGCCTAGAAGCAGACGAAGATGCTGAACACAGCTTTTTCCAAATAACCTGTGTTTTAGGCATGGAGGCCCAACTAGTGAAATGAGACAAAATAATAGCTCATTTCTGTGACCTGGTTCATACTTAACTTTTTTATTTATCTATTTTTATTTGGTACGAGTTCTGACTATGCAGCTCGGACTCATGGTGGTCCTTCTATTTTCAGCCTCCCCAGTGCTGGGATTACAGTCATGGCCCACCACACCTGGACTTGTTCACTGGCTCAGCTCATCTCAGGGGCTGGACTGGGGCAGCATGCAGGACAAGGGATTGAACCCTGGTCCTTGCACTTGCCAAAGCAGGTACTTAGTCCACTGAGATATCTCTTCAGTCCATCATATTTACTTTTATTTTTTAAACATTTTTTTAAAATTTTTATTTTATTTATTTATTTATTCATTTATTTATTTTCTGGCAGGACCGGGGATTGAACTTAGGCCCTTGCACTTGCCAGAGAAGCGTTTATTGCACTGAGCCATCTCCCCAGCCCCTCATACTTACTTTTAATTAAATGTGCAGGAGCATAAAATTCTAGGGTTTTGCCAGACACGTTTTGAGCTCATTCATTGCCCTTGTAGCAATGACTTGTCCAAGGTCATCCAGCCCACTAATTGTGGGGTGAGCACCAGTCCCCAGCCCCCTGGCCTGTGCTTCTAATGCCCTGTCCCAGTGCTGTGAAGATGGTGAAGAACCTTTTAAGAGTCAGCAACGTGAAAGGGAACCCAGGAGTGCTAAGAGGCTCCATTCTCCTACTTGATCATGTTCTCGGGCCACCAGCCAAAATTGCCTTGTGCACGCAACAGGACTAGGTTACACGAAGTCACTCAACATGGAAGTAATTCTTACCTTGTAAGTGCCTTTTCCCTATTACATGCTCGGGCCTTAGGATATGCTTTTCATTCCGTTCACCATGAAATGGAATGAGATGCACAGGCTCGAGCCCTGGTCTCTGATTGGCACTACAAGGCTCCCTGCATTCCCCAGCTGCTCTGCTAAGAAAACAGTCATGTTTATGGCACCGGAGGAGCCAGCCATCTGAGAGGCAGTTTGTCCCCTTCAGCGAGCTGGTTCACGTGGGCTGCTAAGGTGTGAGGCTTGTCCTCAGGCTCTGGTTCACGTTTGCTGGGTGGCTGTTTGGGGCCCCTCTGCCTCTGGTTACTGTTTTAGTGGTGTGGTTTCTGCTCAGCCTCTGGGTCACCTGCTGTTCGAGTCGTCCCCTAGGTCACCCGGTTCATGCTCGCCGTTAGGGCCGTTCGGGTCCTTTCAGCCTCTGCTCGCACGTCTGGTGTGGTTTCTCCTCAGCCTCTGCTTCATGTCTGCTGCGATGCCATCTGGTCCCTTCGGCCAGCTGGTTCACACGTGCTGTTGCAGCCTTTTGTCCCCTCAGCCCTGGCTTACACCTGCTGTCCTGGCCCTGTGAGTCACACCTGCCACCAGTGCCACCTACTTCAGGATTTCCCTGTAGGCAAATAAGTAAGGGTCCAGCCAAAACCAGCCAAATGGAAGCAGAAAGAGTTTTTTTCTAAACATTTGTATTTGCTGTCGTAAAAGAGACAGATACTCTGAGTAGTCATGGTACAATCCCACTGTTAGACTTTGGTAGGAATATGTTTAGCAGTTGCTTATTTCTTATACAGAAAAAATACAAACTAACAGAAAAGATCCAAGAACGGCATAAATTCCTTTATATCATTCACCTATGTTTATCAGTTAACATGCATGTTTGCCTTCACACCCATAAATGGTATAGATGCTTACGTACATAAAGAGTTACACACAGGGGAGCTTTCGTTCCTGAATTCCAGGAACAGGGCATTCTCTTGCATAATTATAATAGAGTATAGGAAATTTGACACTGATGCAATGCTGTTATCTAATACACACCTATTCACATTTTGCCATTTGACCCAGTTCCACAGAGGTGTGAGCTGCTTTAATTTCAGCTGTTTGTTGGCAGGAGAGGACGGGGGAGGTGGATTCCCGCAGAGGTCTTATCTGCTTGTGTGCTTTGGGTTTCCACCTGCTGCTCCTCTCAGGAGCAGCCCCCACTGACAGTTAAAAGGTTGCTGAAAGGGACAGAGGGCAGCATTTGTGTGTGGTTGTCTTTATCACAGTAAAAAGTCACTCACTGGACGTATTTCCTAATAAGGACATTTGCTGTAAGGATATGTTTTCATTTGCAAAGACTTAAGCATTATGACGTCGATTCTTTCACTTCCACACAATCATCAGTCCTGCATGTGTTACCAGCTTTAATCATATGCCTTGGCCGTTTGACTAGAGGTAGTGACTGTCAATTAAAGCCACAAATCCAACCCCTGCCTTAGCACCAGGGGGCAGAGTTGGGCTTGCTGAGACCCTGGAGTGGAGAATTGTGCAGCGCTGTAACCCAGGGTGCCAAGGTTGGGTTTTAATCATTTCACTCCTGATAGAAACGTGCTCAGGACTGAAGTCCATAATCAGCTCTGAGTTCTTGGAGTTAACCCCCTGGCTCTGCCTTTGCCTTTTCCTGTGGTTTATGTACATTTGTTTTTTCTCTGGTGACAGCAGAATACTGTAGAAACCTGTCAGCCCCATCAGGATACACTCGCTAAATCCCGAGAGAGCACTTTCGGTTTTCCTTTCAGCATATTCTGCGTACACAAATAGTCATTGTGTGGTATTGTGAATTTACATAAGACTGCTTTGGCCTGAGTATTTGTAAAACATTAATGGCTTAAAAAAAAAAAATCCAGCAGATGTAGACTGGCTGCCAATACCTGGCTATCACTCAGTAGGAACCGGTTCAAGTTGCCTGTCCGAGCCGTCCTGTCAAGGTGGCTGCATGAAGATGAGGATTATAAAGAGATTATGGTCTATTTGAGAGAAATCCCCTGCCTCTCTCCAACCTCATTAGCAGTTAGCAAGAAAGTGTGAAGACAGGGATTCTTTTCCCGCCCTGCGTTCTCCGCTGCATCCTAAGAGGTTAGAGCACAATTAGACATTCTATGCCTGCACCCAAAGTCAGCTTCCGCCCGTGCTTGGCAGCCTGCTGGCACCTTGGCTGCGCATACCTGCCTCTCAGGGAGCAGGTTCGTACGCCAGGGTGACTGATTTTCCTAAACCCACACATCTAGAAATGCTTTCTGACAATTTTCAAAACTCATTGCTTCCTGTTTTCATCACATCAGAGAATAGACCTTCCAGGTCTGGAGAATTCTGTCCGTGTGGCTCCTGGCAAGGCTGAGAGCAGGCTTTTACCAGTTGGCATTTCCTGAGTGTGTTGGGACATCTGCACTTTGAGACCTGCGAATTGACAGCGTGGTAGGGCTCGCTCTTTCCAGAACTAGCGTCCCAGGAAATGCAAACCCATTTTGTGTTAAGCTATTTCAGAAAGTGTAACTCTTAAGCAGCTCCCCATTCTGCCCTTGACTTGGAAGAAGTTTCTTGGTGTTCAGTATCTGTGTCCAGAGGACCTTGCTTGCAGTTCATCTGTTGCGATCAGAGAAGCGCAGTGAAACTCCCGGCCCCTGTCTAAGATTAGCCTCATTCCATGAGTCTCCCTCTGAGGATTGGCTGTCAGGACTCTCATAATCCCCATGCCTTGTGTTTTATTGGCTAAGCAAAATTTAGCAGTGATGGCCCTATCAAGTAGGTCATTTTGGATTGACTCTGTCACGTTGCTAGAGCAGTGTTAGAGGTAGCAAAACCCCTCTTCTTGTCCCTGTAGGCCTGGGTTATGAGAACCCAGAGGCCAAAGTAAAGGCCTAATATTAAACAAGAGCTCAGTGTAGACTTGAAGAAGCACTGTCAGTCTGATTAAAACAAAGGTCTGATCACAACCTTTAATTACTCTATTAGTAGATAGCCTTCGGCTCTACGTCTTCTAAAAAGTGCTGCTTCTCAAGAAATCTTAGCAAGTCCTTGTTGCCACAGACCTAGGTCTATTCTCAGCCTCCCAGGAGGATGTGTGGGAGCACTTGAAGCCCAGTCATAAAATGCCCAGTTTCCCTTGGCCTAGCCCGTTGCACATCTCCTCAGAGCCTGGCCTAGCCGCTGGCACTGCAGCGCGCTTACTAATTGGCAGGGCACCTGCAGTCAATTAGAGAAGCTTCAATTATCCAAACCAAAGCTACCCACCCAAAGATTAATTTTCTGCTCTATTTCCTATCAAAAACATAGCATCTTTAGTTCTGAGTCTAGCCCTTCAGTGGAGTGCGTGGGGGACGTATGAGCCACGTCATTTTCTTGCTAATTGTGTCCCTCCTCCATGTCGGCAGCCTTCCACTCATAACATCATGCCCCACCAGTCCTTTCAAAATTGTTTTTCTGTTGTTTTGTTGCCTTTCCAAAATGCTGAGATCACCGGAAAAAGATGTTAGTTGGGAGCTTTTCTTTTAAAGTATGGTTTTCTTTCTTTTGCTGAATATATGCCAAATCATTTTGCATTATAGGATCTAACTTCCACAAAGTAACAGCTTTGAGTCATGGCATCGCTGAATTTAAAACACTCATAAATACTGTTCTAACCGTCCCTTGTCATTGGCCCATGTAACTGCAAAGATTGTGCCCTTCTGCATTTTAAAGAATAATTGTTTTGTTGTGTTTCTCAGAGAAGGAACAAGCTATAAATCGGGCTGGGATCGTTCAAGAAGATGTGCAGCCACCAGGTAAGCTTAAAAGAAATCAAACTAGAATCTCATTTGTACTGTTGTGATTTGTGTGTGTGTTTGCTTTGCTGTAGAGAGAGGGAGAATGCTGTTTGGCTCAGAAACTCAATTTTGCGATTTATTTTGCAATAGTGCCATCTTAGAGGCGCCATCTAAGCCTTCATTTTCATCTGCAGAGTACCTTTTGCAGGTTTGCTGGATTCCTCTGAAACACCTGATAAGTGGGCATAAAAATGGAACCGGTGTGCAATTAGATGCGAAGTGTGAATAGCTGCTTCACAGACTTATTTACCAAGCAGTGATTTAATCACTACCCTCGTGGGAAAATAGTGTTTACTTGTAAGCTTTCTCAATTGACATGAGGTTCAGCTTTACACAGAAAGCTTGGGAAGCTCCCTTGATAGGGAAATGGGCAGTTCCTTTACAATGATCCAAGTTGGCCTGGAATGAGAGGTTTCCAGCTTATTAACCAAAACTCTTGTAATCTGTGGCAACATTCCTTTCTAGTTACTTATTTTCTAACGAGAAGGCCAGATATGTATCTTTCTGGGATGGGGCAGTTTCTCCCAGCCTTCTCCATGGCTTCTACAGCTGGCGCTCTCTTCTCCGTCACATGGAAATTGCACAACTCAATTCCAACGTCATTTTGTTTGCTTGGAGTTAGGGGGAGCACGAGGGTGTTTCAAAATGAATCCTGTTTTATTCGTGTTTCTTTCCGTAGGGTTAAAAGTGTGGTCTGATCCATTTGGCAGGAAATGAGAAGGCTGTCACCAGCTCTGATTACAAAAGTAGACATCTTCATGCTTTCGACTCTGCTTCGAGTGCAATAAATCACTTCACTATGGAAGGGTGGCTGGAGAAGAAAACCCTGTCATGCCATCAATAAGAGTACTTGTTATGAAAGCCTGTGCACCAGGATTAGGATTTCCCTTCTTAAATATCAAAAGAACCCTGGAACACATTACTCCATTAGGAAGGTTTGCATAATTTGGTTGACTTTCCAAAAATAAGCTGTCTTGTGGGGCTGTTTGCTGGAGAGCTGTTTATTATTCAGTGTTTATCGTCTCCTGAACTGCGATAGGAATACAAGCAACGTGTGAGCTTGAGGAGGTGCACGCCCTCTCTGCCACCTTCCAAATAGGATAGTTTAGGGAAGAGCCACCCTGCTGAGCTGCCTTGAAGGGGTCTTTGAAAATATTGGAGTTGATAAAGCTCTTTGAGGACCTGGTACTTGCATTGCTTAAGAATAAACAGTTCAGCTGAACTGTCTACTGTTGAAGACTGCTCCATGCTGGAAAATAAATAACTAGAAAGGAGGCCAAACTGCAGGGGTACATGGGCATAGTTCAAATCAGGGTGAATCAACAGAAGTGGAAACCATGTCTATTAAAATGATTTGTTTTTGTTTTACAACAGTGTATTGTTTTGTAAATCTTTTTCTGTCAAGGTAAGTAGATTGCAGCAACAAGAAGCACTATTGGACTAGATTATGTTTGACTGTCATTTGTGCAGTGTACATCTGTTTGTGTAGAAGTAAACCTCTTAAATGTAAATAGTTGAGACAAACAGTTATTGAATGCCAGTTCTCTACAGATGCCTTATGAGATGCTACAAAGATGAGTGAGACTTCTGCCTTCCTTCTTTTCTTGACTCCTTCCATTCCTCCTCCTTTCCCATCTTCCTCTCTTTCCTCCCTCCCTCCCTATCTTCTTTCCTCTTTTCTTTAACTTTCTTTCTTTCAGTGCCGGGCCCATCCCCTTACCAGGATGTCTTCTGAAGAGATACCTTTTCCATTTTATAGCAGAGTGCCTCAAATAAGCTGCTTGATGACATTGAGTAATTTTATTACTGGGAGCTTAGCATTTTCTTAATATACGACTGACCCAATTATGCAATTACTGTCAAAAAGAAGTAAGATTGATAGTTCTGAAACTAAAGTCATCATTTTTGGCAAGCATTCCGTAACATTTAATTGACTTACAGTTAACAACCCAGTAGAGGAAGTTGACTAATTAGGGGTACATTTGCCCACTGTTTTCCTTGGAGGGGGCACCCAGAAATTATGTGATTTAAAATCAGACTTCTACAGATGTTTAATTGAGCTGTCTTTATGAGTGAGCCAAGTGTGTGGCACCATCTGCTTTGGAAGATGTCCACACTAAAACGACTGTGTCTGAGTGTTTAAGTTCTACACAGCTTTGCTTGAGTGGCTTTGAGCACATAAGCCCAGATTGGTCTCTAGAGTGAGGTCTTTGACCTGGGCTCACCTGTGTAGAGATTAAGGGACCATCTTTCCTGTTCATTGCCTTCATGTTTGTAATGGGATCACACTCATGTTGGCAGACAGGTAACTTCAGACCGCTGTCCACAGTTGACAGCAGTGAGCACAAGAGCTCCTGTTCCTGGAGGTTGATGCAAGCCCTCAGTGGTCACTGTGAGGGTCCACAAGAGCCCTGGGATGATAAGAGGAGTACTGGAAAGGCAGTCATAGCCAGGAGCCTTGGGAAGCAGAGTTCAGATGTTGGTTAAGTTTACTGACTTCTAATGTGATGACTTCCAGGACAGGCACAACATTTCCCAAGTGTACGGATCACGGAGCACTTTCCACAGTGGGCTGTGATTCCCAGTGTGTCTTGGAGGAGCTATTTTATTTTATGTATTTGGTACAAGGTCTCACTGCACAGCTTAGACTCATAGTGATCCTCCTGTTGCAACCTCCCCAGCACTGGGATTACAGGCGTGCGCCACCACACACAGTCTTGCTGGCCAGCTCCGCATGCCCGTGGTGGGGCCAGTACCATATGCTGTACCGGGGATCCAACCCCAGTCCCTGTGCTTGCCAGGCAGGCGCTTAGATTGCTGACCTATCTCCCTGGCCCATTGGAGGAACTCTTTTATACTAGTAATTGTTAAACTTCTTGGTCTCAATATAACTTTATACTCTTAAAATTTTCCAGAAACTCCACAGTGATTCTCTTTATATAGGCTGTTATATTCATGGATATTTACTGTTCTAAAAATTTAAACAAAACTAAAAACATTGCATCTTTTTAAGAACATTAATAAACTATATAAATTAATAGGACATATTTTTATGTGAAAAACTTGTCAAGACAAAAGATAATTTGCAGACCTCTTTAATGCCGAGTTTACAGAAGACAGCTGAATTCTTACATCTGCTCTGCGTTGGCTCTGCGGCAGTGCCTCTGCATGGCTTCTGGGAAACAAGTCTACACACTCGTGAAAGGCCAGAGTGGTATTATAAAAATAGTTTTGACCATACAGACCTCAGAAAATGTTCCAGGACTGCTAGAGATTGCTGGATCATGCTTTTGTCCAGTTTCAAGCTCTTTTGGATTTAGCCCGGCCCTTTGAGAATTGCAGATTACGTGGCTGGATTACACTAACTCCCTCAAAGAGTTACTTTCAGTGAACCATGCTGTAGCATGTTCCTGTTAAAGGAAGTGACAATAGGAGAGCAGAAGCTGACAACATTTCTTACTGTTACTGAAAAAAGTTTGCATCCTTCATTTTCAATGCCAAGTGGTGTCTTCTTCAGGGAGACTTGGATTGACAATTTCGAAATTCCAGAAATAGCAATAATTGATACTATTGTCCTGTCAGCATTGAAGTGTGTATTAGCTGACCAAATGCTCAAACAATGTGTGATCTGGCTTTTTAAAAAGTGCCGATGGCCTTGTGGAATGTGTGGGGGCCTTTGGGTTCATCTAGTTCTTTTCTCATCCTTATTTTCCTTCTTATTTTCTCAGTTTTTCCTCTAAAAGGATTTAATGGTCCCTTGTTTTTAGATGAAGCAGAGCATAACACCTCCTGAAGTTGTGGGGGGAGATGAATTCAATTCACAAACGAAAGCAAAGTAAGATGGAATAATAATAGAACCTTTAAAGAAGTAGGGTATCTTGCTGACCCTGGACAGATGCAAACCCCTGTGCTCCTCCACTGTGGGCCTTAGCTGTTCTGGACTTGGCTTACCTTCCCACCTGATGCTCTTCCTCCTGCTGGGCGGAAGGACACCTGAGGGGTGAATTGCTGTGGGAAGGGAGTGGTACCCACTCCAAAATGACAAGCTGCAGGGCTTTCCTTCACTGTAGGAGACTTGAGGAAATCTAAGCAGGAAGTTCCCTGAAAACTTGAATACAAAGTTAGAAGGTTCTCCCTGGAGCAGCTGTAATCATAAGTGGCCAGACTAACTTAGGCTTGTCTGCAGTGAGGTCCCTACAGAAACCAAAAACATTTAAAAACTTTCTAATCTGATAAAAACCAGGGCTTGTATTTAATGGTCTATGAAACACTGGTATTGAGGGATAAATATGGACTGGGCTTTGGCCTAAGAGGTGGGCCGAGAAGCACCGGACCTCAGGGCAGCCACTCCAGGCTCAGAAGGCTGGCATGTGCAGCACACTGGAAGCGTTCCTTGTCCTGGGAGTGCTCTGTTCGGAAGCATCAGATGGGTTCAGAAGCATCAGCAGATGCCCTGGGCAGAGCTCTGTGGACCGGACAGCACACTCCAGGATTTGGCTCACACCTGCCAAAGGCAGCGAGCCCTCCTGCAGCTGCTGCTAGCCTTTGGCACCACTGTCTGCAGCTCATTAGGATCCCCTGTGCAGGGGGAAGGCAGATGGAGTACCTGGATAGGCTGCTGGGCACATGTGCTGACTCAGCCTCAGGGACCTTTGCCTTCGCCTCTTCTGCTCTGTCCCTGGAGGAAGGGATCTTGGCCAGAATCTCAGCCTTTTTCTCTTAGACTCAGCTACCAGGCCTCCCCTATTAGGGAGAAATGAGAACCTACCTCCCTCCAGCAGACTTGGGGACCTGGATACGAAGAAACACTCAGACTGCTTCAAAGCTCAGGGAGATTTAAAGACACCTGAAGACATGGCCTCACTGTCAAACACAAACACACCGTGGGCTATAGCACACTTAGCACAGGTAAACACATATGCACTGGTTATGGTCCTATACAAGAATGTAAATATGTGATAACGACCTGTATAAGAATTATACAGTGAAGATGCAGGCAGCTCTTGTGCTCTGTTCTACCTACTGCTGTTGCTGATGTCTTGCACAAGTATGTTCTTTAAGCCTGAGGATCTCACCCACAAAGTTCTCCCTTGGGCCCCTGACTGGGCTGACAACAATCATAGCAGGATGTCAAGGTGGGTGGTCCTGTAGAGGGTGTGGAAACCACGTGAAGGTGAGAGAGCTTCAGGGAATGGCTGAAAAGCAACCTCCAGCTTTGCTGTGGCTACCTGTAGCCATCTTGGCAGGCCCTGGAGGACTGGGAAATAGTCGACTCCAGGGATGTTTTAGAAACCTTAGAAGCAATGGACAGAAAAATTCCTCCCTGTTAGCGTGAAACAGTGGGGCAGGCAGCTTGGCTGTTTTTCACTCTTCTGCCTAGTAAATCGAGAGGCAGCTGGCTTTGTCCAGCAAGTAGGCCAGCTGCAGCAGATAGTTGAGGACAGAGCTCATGTTTTGAGGAGTGGGAAGCACTGCCTCCAGGAATGTCTCTGTGAGTGTAAGTCCTTATGTCTGAGAAGAACTTCCAGGAAAATCCCTTTGTTTTGCATGCTAGGCAGCAATCCATCAAAAAAGTGGAAATCAAGGAACCCTGAGCATAGGGAGGAATATCAGAAGGGCCACCTACCTCTACCTGGCATGACGTACACAACCTGTATGGCCATGGAACTGCAGGAGCTGGCAAAACAAAGCCAACGGTGCATCCTCTAGCTGTGGGATGATGGAGCTGATAAGATACAGTTAAGCCTACAGGAGACATCTCAAATATCCAGTGCCCCTTCTGTGAGATGTGCTCTGTAGGATGTGTAGTAGACGGCCCCAGAAGCAGGTAGTCAGCCTGCGATAAATCGGTTGATGGCAGTGGCTCCCCCGAGAATCCAGGCGATCTGCTGGAGCAAGTCGCTATCTAGATTGATAACTGTAGCACCATAATGAACTGTTGATGTCATGCATCAAGGACATGGTCCTGGTCAGTGGG